TCATGAAATTTGCATGTAAATCGATGGAACACAGACTCAAAAACAAATATCGACATATGTTCTCCCTCATATGTGGATCCCAGGACCAGACTCTGATAAATAAGTATGCCAGCAGACATAACTACAGGAACCAGGATAATGGAAAGGAAACAGAGAGGTAAAGGAAAAGAAAGAACCTGAAAGAGAAGAACAGTAAGAAACAGGACTTAATAAGGGAGATATGAATAAAAATTGGATTAGTTTAAGAGAGAGGGCACAAGGAACCTAGGGGATAAAGGGAAAGAAGGAGCTCAAGAGCGGTAGGACCATAGGAGAAGGGGATTATTAAGGGAGAAAGGGGGGAAATGGGGGCACTCTAAATGGGAAAACCACGATGGAGGGGTGAGACAATGTGAGAGATAAATAATACCTAGCTAGTTTTGAAAACCATATTATTTGGGAACCATATTATTCCTACAACCTACCAACAAATTATACATACCAGATCAAGAAATATATCTAGGTAAAGTTTATCTGAGAATAATTTGGTCTTTGCCCAAGATTTATCTATATGACACACAGTAATTAAAAGTTCCAGACTGGTATAACTAATCTTCTTGGATGCTTAACAGACATACTTTGAGGCCTATACTAATTTGGTCAGAGGGACATAAAGGACAGTTTTTGCTCCTTGCCCTCCTAGGTCAACTAGTTCCAAGGGACTATGATCGTCTCTCAAAATGTCCTGTAATTGTGATGGGTCACCTGTCCTCTTGATCAAGGAGGCCTAGGAGACCCCACCAGATGGACTTGAACCAATGTCCAGTCTATAAAGAGGAGGGTCAACACAGAGGAATCGCTTCCTCCATGCTTCCAAGCGAACCCAACCACGGTCGAGTAGGACCTCTGACTTATCCTCACATAGGCAGAACTGGTAAAATAAAGGAGCCAGGGGCTCCTCCCAAGCCCATGTGACCCCTGAGGAACAGATCCTCAAACGACCTTAAGAGTAAAAATAAATTGGTTTATCTGGGCCAACTGTATGTCCTTAAACATCCAAAAGGAAAGTACAACCAAAGATTAAAGGGGTCAATATAATTTCTTAAGAGTCTATATGCATAGCTAAAGGCTACATAACAAGAAACACCACCAGATAGGAGATACCTTCTTTTTAGTTGTTGGCCAGGGTGACCAAAGGGACTCCCAAATAGTAACCCAGCATAGAACTGGGAAAATAAACAGCAGACCCTAATCTTATCTGAAGGAGTATTGACAGCTGATTCCTGCTAGAAGAGGAACAGCTGACCCTCCTAAAACAACCTCTAGATTACCTCTAGATAGGCTGAAGAGAGTCACCAGAAGGGCAAGTAGTGGGGATTGACTGGGGTGCCGACAACACAGCAGACAGTAGCAGGGGTATCAGAGTATAAGGGCTCTAGTGGGGGGAGGGAGGCTATGGGAGGGTACCATCTGGGAAGTGGGTGTATAGTCAAATAAGATGGTTTGGGATGTTCTGTGTAACACACACACACACACAAAAAAAAAAAATCAACAAATTTTTAAAAATGTACCTCAACTATAGTTGAGGGGGAAGCATGAAAATTTATGTCATGCTAATTAGTAGAGGTGATAAAGATTCCCACTGAAATCTACCCGATGACGTTATAGACAT